CAGCAAATACTTCTCAGCTCAAAGCAAAGCCATGCAACAGTTGGAAAACATGGATGGGAATGAAGTACATATTCAAGCAAAACTGAAGCAATTAAGAATAAAAAAATCCAGCTATAAAAGTCTAGGAGCAAGCATTTAGCCATAAATTCTGCTGCTCTGGTTACTCTCATTAAAAGCATCATGCCTTCTTTGTATCAGGCTTTGGGCTACACATCTCTTCAGACATGCAGCCTCTCTATGACTCCCTCAGTCAACACCAAGCATGAACCCACAATTTTTTTCTCTATTCTCATTATTTCTATGAAAGGCTTTCATCCAATTAATGACAATTCAGAGAGGTAAATCTAGCCTTTCAGAAAAGTAATAACATCTATGTGATTGCAGCTGCTTTATTTTTAAATGATTTTCAAGGACAAAATGAGTTCATTGCATGCTGAAGTCCATCATAGCTTTCCATTTGAAGACCTCAAACCAAATGATTTACAAGAGTCAGTGCTAACAGATAGAGCAATTCACAGCATGATGTAATCTAAAACTGATAAAAAACTGCACTGAAATACTGTTGAGTTGTCATGAATTTAATACAAGAGAGCACAGGCTGAATTATAGCATTCAAGCATTGCAAAACTGGTCCTCCAACCCTGGCTGCCTTTTCTTTTGAGGTTATAACTCTTACAAATAATTCTCTCAGCCTCCTACAGCTTTAAAACATTTTGAAAGTATTCTCCAGTTTTATTCATAGTTGTGCACAAAGTCACAGGTTCTCTCAACGTCTCCTTTTCCTCTTCATATTATTACAATGGGTCATTCTTTTTCTTTGAAGATAAACTGAGTGATGAAGTCAGAGCTAGGCTTACATTTCAGGAGCGGGAGCTTCTTCAGCAGTCACCATTGTTGGTGTCCTCACTAGAAACCCCAGTGAAGGAAGAGGCTACAGAAGAATGCAGAATCAAGTGCTCTTGACACACTAGTAAAGCACCAAAGCATACAGCAAAGCTTCCTGATGTGCACTTCTGTGCCTATACAGCCCTGGGATTTGGGTCTGTCAATCCAGTGTCTTCGGTAAGAGGCAAAATATCTTCATACGATAATGAATATAATTAAATAAAATTTTAGAGAAAGGTTAAAATTTTACTTCAAATTAATGAGTTACTAAGTTTAGAAGCGTTAGGGAATATATGCTCAGTCATCTCCCACACTGAGAAGAAAGCTCCTTTGGAGTTAGAAATCACTGCAGTTCTCAGCTAAAGAAGTAGAGAGCAGGGGGATTAACAAAAGAATAGCATGTGAACCCACTAGTTTATTTTTTTAGTTTGTACACAGAATTTAGACTTCTGTCTGAAAGACAATCTACCTTTTCTTGTATATGATTGCCCTGAAGATGCTCAAGTATAGGGCAACAAAGGTGATCCCAGTACACCAGACACAGAGGGGAAAGGAGGACTTATTCTTCTCGTGTCATCAGAACAGTGAGGTGACCTAACACCAGTGACAAAATTAGTAAATGGACTCACTCTCTAACTCAGCTACACAGTAATTTGAAAACTAAAACATATCTATGGCTAAAAGTTATTCTTCCATGATCACCAGGTAAAACTTTTGAGTTAGAACAGCTAAAATTATAGACAGACCAACAGGACTGCTCAAAGTGCACATATACTCTCCTGACAGTAGGTGTGCCACAAGGGAGACCTTCAGAGTGACCTTTCTAAACTCTACAGCTCATTTTCCTCACTTAGGCCAGATTTTGGTCAACCCCAGCTCAGCGTAGATGATCATCAAAATCTCTCACCAGTTATCAGAATAAGTTCAGGGAAAAGTGTATTTCCAAGGTGAATGGCTTTTAATGCATTTAAAATTTTTCTGATAACAGAACCTGCAGCTGCTGTTGCTATACCACAATCCTTTTCCAAACAGATTGTGAACTGTTTGGAAAACCTACCAATTCTGTGCTTCCTACAGAGGTCTCCCAACATAATTAAAGCTGGTTTAGTTATTTTTAACATGTAAAACTTAGTAAAATTAATTAATAAGTTAACTTAAAATGACAATCTGTATCACAGAAAAGCTAGACAACTTGGGGACTCACACATCCACCTTCATATTAAGTCCTCCTTAAAGATATCAAATATAAACCAGATGTTTAAGGATTTAAATATGTCAAACATGAACTAGAATAAAATCCAGTTATATTAGCATTATTTTTCATGGGACTAGGAGGACAGAAGTGCTACTGTCAAGTTTGGGATTAATCATAATTCCACAGAAAGTTTTGTCTACAAATTGGAACTTGGAAAATTAGATTATTTTGTTGGTCTATCATAATCCAAACATTTCTAATTATAAAAAATTATTTTTTAAAATTAAACTAGAATGTTATATTGCTATATGGCAAGCTTAAAGCAAAACTTTGCTCAGACACAGCAGCTGCTAGACTGTCTTAAACCTTCCATTCCATGCAAGCCAAAGCCATCTATGCAGTGTTATCAACTGTGGCTAATTAAGCATATGCAAACCATGCTGCAATCTACCATGCAAACCCTTTGTGCCTTAATATGCAGTTATTTTGTGCCATGATCCTTGTTAAATAAAGATATTATTTTTGAACAACTTTCCCTCTCAACCGTCAATATAAACTTCAAACATGATGTTATCTTTCATTTTCCACATGAAAATGATGCCTAAGCTTACATTCCAATTTATATTTCTAAAATACCTTCTATTTCAGCAGCTATCTTGCTCCAGATCTCATGGCTTGCCCATCTGTCTCTGATTTGGGCCCCTCTTTCATGTCTTTTGAAACATCCAACTCTTCTGTTTCTACCAATGCTTCTTCATCAATTGCAGCCTTACAGTAACTTCAAAGAAAACTTGCAGGTCACTTAAGCATGGCCTCCCCACCTGAGTCTGTGAACACTCTCTTTAGACAAGCTTTCTAGCTTTTAACATGCACTCCCAGATGACTTCTAAGGTCCTGCACCACCCTTCTTCAGTTCCCCAGACAAGAAGGGAAACCTAAACAAGGGAAGCTGCGCCATATCTCTTTCATTCCCACAGCTGCCTTAGATCCCAGCACTGAAATTCCTGAAGAGAAATCACTCACTGCAGGTAAGGTAACATGGAAGGCAGGAGCTAATGAGCTGGGAAAGAGTCTTTAAAGTTGTGGCTGTGACCAGAAGGACCCACAAGCCTAGGATTCACAGGCCCTTAACATTTTCCTGGGTCACCTGCCCTCCACAGCATTCATTAACTCTCAGAACGTACCCTACAGCTCTTTCCCATTGGTCCCCAGATCTATTACCAAAAATAGGCATTTACTATGATTTAAAAGAATTTTCACATGTATTATTTTTGTCAGTGAGTCAACACCCTCTTTTCCTTTCTTAATGCCAGGCTTGGGTTCACAGCCCTCTTTTCCCTCTGTGTCCTCTGGCTGGCAATTCTCAAGGATTTTAGATAGTGTTTCTGCACTTGTGATTCTCAGATTCTCCCTCTGTCATCAACCTTTCTGCCTCTGTTCAGTCCCAGAGCTGAAGCTGCTGTCTGGCATCTCTTCCTGGAGATTTTTTCATCAGTTTATGCTAGCTCAAGTGCAGAGTTGCCTTGATTTAGCCTCACTTTCCCATTTCTCATTCATAGCTGATACGAGTAACATACTCCCATTCCTGCTGTCTTCCCTCCCTTTTCCCAAGAGTTGCACACAAATAGCACCAGGTCCCAGGCCTTCCTTCTACCTCACCAGCTTAAAGAGCAGCCTGTACCATTTTCACAGACAAATCTGCTGGTTAGACCTCTTTGGAATATCTCACCACAGCTACTGCAAAGTTTTCTTCTCTGCATCCCAACCATGCAACGCTCTTTGCAAGGAAGCTGCACGTGACGAAACACCTCATCTCACAAACCTGAGTGCACCAATTGCTCCTTCACAGCCTTCCACTTGTTCTTCACCTGCTGTTCCCACACATCTGAATTTCTCTCGTACTTGGAAGTTCAACCTGACTGCATTCCCCGGGTCTGCCCTCTTCTATTGAGCATCATACTGTCCCTGTCACTTGCACACTCCATCAGCATTCCCTATCCATGTAACTTTCCATTGTATGTTTCACCAGCCTATCCCGTTCATCTTGACGTGACCTCCCATGGTCAATCCACAAAGACTCAGCTCTCCAGGCTTTCCCATAAGCCCATTCCTCCTGAGACACTGACAGCAAATAAAACAAAATACAGAACACATCTACATACCTCTCTTGCTTCTTTTCCACACAACCATCTCCTTGCTGTCCTTCAAGCTCCTTGCAAGAACTGGGGGGTTTTTTGAAACCTCCCTTGTCGTTATTTGTGAATTAATGAGAATAAAAAAAAAATTAAAAACACAAACCCAAATTACGACTTCCTACCAACTTGGGTGCTAGGAAAATTAACCAAGTGCAAAGTAGGAAAAGATGGAGAAGTTGTGTAGGTGTGTGGAACCGAGTAAAAGCTCAACGTGATAGGAAGGGACAACCCTGGCTACCCTGCTCGTGAGGCAAGAAATTTACACCTGGGGAGATCCTGAGTTCTGCCCTTCAGCCAGTCCGGTCCAGGCAGGACGAGCACAGCCGTGACTCATGTCAATGGTGCTCGAGACGGTCACTAGGAGCAGAGCGAGGGGCAGCACCGGAACACCCGCCGCTCCCGGAGGGGACCCTCGGTGTGACCACCGCGCGGCTGCGAAGGTGAGCGGGGCGGGAGGGCGCTCTGCCCGCAGCCCCGGGTCCCGGAGCGGCCACCCCCGTCCCAGCCACGGCGGCGGGCGCGGCCCGCGCTAGGACCCGGGCGGGAGCGGC